CACCTCCGTACCGGGATTGAGATCTCATCCCAAAATGCCAGACTGGATCGGTGTTGGCCACAGCAGCAGAGCAGAGGAAGCTGCTTTGCTGAAAGGCAACGTGGGCCTCACTGAAAACATCTTTACATGGACACATGCTGCAAACAAAAAGGTTTATCCCAATAAAGTTGGCTTAAAACACCTTGGCCTGATTTTGCTCTGTATCTAGCGATGGCAAAAATTGGCACAAACACAGGTATAACCACCAAAGCCAACCCTAGCTGGAAGCCAAAGGGCAGAGATGAGTGAGACGAACTCTGCTCCTTCTTTACATTTAAGGATGAGCAGAAGCCTGTGCCACCCCTTTGGAGCCCACACACGAAGCCTGGGATGGGGACACACAGAGGTACCACCAGCTTGGCCAAAAAAGTGCAACCACCCGAAACACTGCCAGTAGCCAGAATGATTTTGGTTTCCTTCAAAATTCATAAAAGATGCAAAGAAAGCAGAGGTGGTGCCTGCCTGGCCATGACCTGGGACCCTTCCTTCACAGGTCTCATTTTTCACACTGAGGTACACCCAAATATCTGGGAATTTGGCCCACTGGAATGCAGGAGGAGGGTAAGGCATCACCCTCCACCTCCTGGGTTTACTTTTCTGGCATCCAGGAGCTTTAGCTGCTGCTCAGCATCAGTAGGACAAGGTTTAGTTGAGAACACAAAAACTCTTTGATGTTTGCCCAAAACCTTTTTCAAAAGCCAAAAGGAAAATGCCCACCAACAGCTGTCAGCTCAAAGTAATGATTTGGAAATGCAGCGTGACCTTTGGAGGTTAGAACCTGCAAGAGGGGTGAAATGCCCAGCTGAGCCAACAGCACCACTGCTGATTAGTAAATACAGTGAACTCGGCCTCAGGATCTGACTGTGCCCTGTCAGGCACAGCACCACACAACCAGACCAAGATGTCCTCTGCAAAGTGAGAACAGGACATGGAAAACACTAGGTGATTCTCAGAAACCAGCCTGGGGACAAGGCTGGGGAGAGGCAGCGAGCTCCAGGTGCTCCCAAGGAGCAGGATGGCAGCACCTGTATGACATCATGGAGCACCAAAGCAAACTTGAATACAGAATCACAGAATCATTTAGGCTGGAAAAGCTCTCCATGATCAAGCCCAACCATTCCCCCAGCACTGCCAAGGCCACCACTAAACCATGTTCCCAAGTGCCACATCTACACAGCTTTTAAATCCCTCCAGGGATGGTGACCCCACCACTGCCCCGGGCAGCTGTGCCAGGGCTGGTCAACCCTTTTGGTGAAGGAATTTTCGCTAATACCTAATCTTAATCTGCCCCTGCACAGCTCGAGGCTGTTTCCCCTTGTCAGGTCACTTGTTCCCTGGGAGCAGAGCCCAATCCCCACCTGGCTCCACTCTGCTGTCAGGGAGTTGCAGAGAGCAATAAAGTCCCCCCTGAGCCTCCTTTTCTCCAGGCTGAGCCCCCCCAGCAGCTCCTTACTACACTTGTGCTCCAGACCCTTTCCTAGCTCTGTTGCCCCAGTACTGAGCCCTGGGGACACCACTGGTAACCAGACACCGACTGGATATGTCTCCATTCACCACCACTCTCTGGGCCCAGGCAGATTTTTACCCAGTGAACACAAACCCATCCAAGCCACAAACAGCTAGTTTCTCCAGAAGAATGCTCTGTAAAATGCTGCCAAAGTCTTTGCTAAAGTCCATAAAGAAAACATCCCCAGCCTTCCCCTCATCCACTACATGTGTCACCTTGTCATGGGAGACCAGGCTGGTCAAGCAGGATGTGCCATTCATGAACCCATGTTGGCTGGGCCTGATCACTTGGTTGTCCTGAGCAGCTTTGCTCTAATTATGGTGGGATTTGAGAGCTTTCCAGAAAACCTGAAACTATTTCCAGAAAGTTGTCTTCAGGGGGGAACAAATCACCAAACCAAGGGGACTCACTTTTACAGGTACGTAACTGCAGGGAGAGTGGTGGCAGGTGAAGATGGGAAGAGTCAGAAAGGCAGGGGAAGCTTTTCCGGGGGAACACAGGACACCAAAAATGTTAGACTGGTAGAGGAGAAGCAGCCCTTGAGCTTTGCCCCTCCAGAGAGGGCAGGGAGGCTGGAGGGTGGCTTCAGAGGTGGCTTCAGCAGGCACAGCCAGCCAGATCTACACACTGTCCTCTTGCAAGGGGCATAGCTGGAAAGAAGACGCATTCTCACAGCACACATCTGGACACCTCAGAGGGGACCAAGGGTAACAAACCAAGGGATGCCCATCCCGAGTACCCCTTCCCCACTCAGCATTGCCATTTTTTCTTGGGAGGAGAACCCAAACCCACCCTACACATGCCAGCAACAGCAGGGTTCTGCAGCAGCCCCTCTGCAGGAAGAGCTCCAGGAGACCCTCGTGCAGCAGGTAGGACCACAGGCACCATCGCACCTTCACACAGCACCATCTGTCCCACTGCTCCCCACCACCAAACCAGAACAGAGACACTACCCACCCAAAATATCAGTGTCTCCACCCTCCTGACGAGCCTCAGATGTGGAGGTCCATCATCATCACCTCCACGCTGTTACAGAGATGACCTAAGCCTCATCCTGTTCTTTCTGCCCTGCTAAGAGAGAGGGATGTGTAGATGTCTGGTAGCTTTTGGAGTATTTACCTCAAACTTCGAGCCATCTATGTTGACCAGATGCAGGCAGGACAGCAGCAAACCACAGCTCTGCATGCAGGGCTGTGTGAAAAAGCACATGCAGTCAAAAACTGAAATTTCAGAGCTGCAAAGAGGAATGGGGAGACAGTTTTAACTACTCAGGCTCATTCCCTCCTGCCTGGTCCCAATGGAATGGGGATCTGGGCGTCACGCAAGAGTGAAAGGCTCGTCTGGGGTGACTTTCAGCAGCAAGTGTGGCTGAACAAGGGTACAGCTAAATTAGCCAAGTGCCCTACCCAAGCATTAAGCCATGTTTTAAATAACATTGACATCTGTGAGGTCTCAGCCTGTTGGGAAGCATGTGGAGGCAGGGAGGGAAAAGGTGACAGGGCCTTCTGGCCAGCCAGAGTCCCCACCAGGACACAGCAGAGCCTGGCTGTGTCATCCCCAGGCAGCTCTGCTGTGCCTCCTGCCACTCTGCCCCTTGCAGCAGCCCCTTAATTTGCTCATTAGCAAATTCACAGGAACAAGAGAAAGGAACTGAATAGTGTCCCTTTCCCTGGACACACTCTGTGTCCTCATGGGAGTTTGGGATTGGGGCCAGCAGGGACAAGGACTAGCATGTCTGAGAAATGCCAGGTTCTGGGCAGGTCACTAAGGAACCCCACGGGAAGCATCTAGAGCACCCACCACCAGTATCCACGCTGGGACAGAACTGCTGTCCATAATGCCCTCATGAGCAGCCTGGGGACATTATGGGGCAGAGACATGGAACACCAGCTGGGGACATGTGTATGATGTGGGGACAGCCCCCCTCACCAGCTGCACCCACACGGGCTGTGTTGGGGCAGCACCCCAACATCACCCCCAGGACAGCACCACGGGATCCTCACCTGACTCCCGACACCCTCCACAGCCATCAGCCACCTCCACTGGCCAAGGCCTCCAGCACCAGACCAGGGGACTGACAGACAGGCACACGGGCACCGTGACTACATGGGCATTGCAACCCACCCAGCAACTGTGAAAATAAACCATCTGCATCCACAAATGTCCAGAAATTATGCAGGGACCATCCGGCTCAGGCCGATGGAGCCTGGGGGAAACCACCCAAAAGCAACAGCTTCCAGAGGATTCCCATCATCGGTGCCAACCCAACCTCCCGTGCCATCCTGGCACTCTCCAGGTGCGTGCAGCTCCTGCCTGGTGGCTTTCCAAGCAGTGTCCCCCCAAGCTTAGGAGCCAGCACAGCTGAATGGAAAATTATATTTGTAAGCAGCCAAGGGAGAGCGACCCGAGAGAAAAGGAGCGCTGTCTCGGAAGGGCTGGTTTACATTTCTAAAGAAAATGCCAGCGCCTTGGAGAGCCGCAGGGTTCTGGCTACGGATGGAGCAGGGAGGCTTTGAAAATGGCCTCAGGGATTTAGGATGCTGGCATTTCGGGGAGCCCAGTCTAGGGCCTGATTTGCAGATACAGAACAGTGGCTCTGGAGAGCTCCTGCAAGCTGGAAATTCGGCGGTAAAAGCTGTTATTTCCCCATCCCATGGGAAAGACAAGCTTGGGAGTAATAAACTTTTGCTCTGCCAAGTCCTTTCTAGGTGATGCCCCCAAAGCACCCTGTGTAACCCCGACGCAAGGCACAAAAAAGAGCAACTGCAGAAACTGGCAGCACCAGTTTCCAGTGATGACACCTGTGACACCCTTGAGGGCTGCAGGGATTTTGGGGGGCACAGGGAAACACTGCCTGGGGTTCCCTTGCTACAGGATAACCAGAGCAGCACATGTGGGAGGGCACACAGCCCTGTGCCCACACATCAGCCCCCCAGCTGTGGGAATGGCTGGGGTTTCTCCAAGGGAAACCCTTTGATTAAGGCACCTTGTAAAACTGGACATGTCTTGGGAAGTTTCCTACAGAGGCCATGAGCTCCTTCAAGCTTCCCAAGGATGGTTCTGCAGAGGGCAGGTCAGGCAGCCCTCCTGCCCCTCTGGCACCTCTAAGCACCCTTGATGGCAAGCAGGACAGGACTGGGATTTCCTCTTTTCTGGCTCCCACCTCCCTCGTGGCAGGGCTGTGAGTGAGTGGGTGCCAATAACACGCATACACACTTCTTGAACAAGACAGGTCTTGGCTCTTCCCACCTCCTGGAAGGATTTTTACCTGTTCCTTCACAGCTTGACAGCTCCAAAAGTTCATTGCTAAAGGCACCCCATCCATTAGTGTTCACCCTCAGGGACCAGACCCAAAAGAAGAGCATCCATCTATGTCACCGCTCCAACTCCTCCTTGGTTCCAGAGGTGGGAAGTGCTGGGAAAACAGGGATGGGGTCTGGGCCAACTGCCTTACCTTGGGGAGGAGAGCTGGGGGTGCCACTGCCAGCAGCTCTGGCGGGGTCATGCTCCTGCCAGCCAGGACCACAGCACCGCACTCGGCACAAGCGCCGATGGTCAGCTGCTTCCCATCATCCACCAGCAGGCTGTTGGCCACGCGGAGGGTGTAGAGGAAGACGGGAAGTCTGGCCACTTGAACCGCTTTTAATCCAAGGCATCTCTTCTTCTCCTGCCGGCAGAAGAAGCAGACGAAGGTCTCCACTTTGTACTGCCGGGACCAGGCGCTGCTGGGGTGGTGGGAGTTCCTGCCCTCGTGCTGCAGCCACTGTCCCAGCAGGTCGTGGTAGCACAGGACGCAAGTGGCCACCAGTCCCGTCGAGTCGGCCGGTCTGGCCCGTGGGGCGGGTGGGTAGACTGTCAAGAAGGGGAAAAAGGGTTCCTTCTCCCCAAATCGTCCCGGAGGGTTGACATTGAGCTGGAACTCTTTGCCAGCTCCCAGCTCAGCCCCACAGATGTAGCAGATGGAGGTGGGACCAGGCTTGATGACAGCAGGGTGGCCAGTCAGGTCACCAGCAGAGAAGACCTGGTGGTACCTCCCCAGGAAGCTCTGCACCGAGGAGATGAGCTCCTCATTGTGACAGGCCCTGTACATGGCCCACAGGTCCTGCAGCACCCCGAAACACTTGCGGCAGCTGCTGACCTCCCAGTGCTTGTTCAGCCCCTTGGCACCGGGCGGGCAGGGCAGGAGGCTGAGGAAGGGGAAATGCATGGTGCTCTTGGCATTGCCATTGGTGATTTTGGCAGCCACCGGCCTCGCCTCCTTGCCGCACTCCTCCCCGCACAGGTAGCAAGCCTCAGGCACCGGTGGGATGCCCGTCCCGTCCTCCTTCATCCCTCGCTGGCCCTTGGCAGGCATGGCCCCGGCGCTCAGGGGCACCACGTAGAGCCGCTGCAGCACGGGCACGTTGGCCAGCTCGAAGCTTTGCCACTGCTGCATGAGGGAGGCAAAGCAGCAGGGACACACCAGGGTGCTGCCGGTGGGAGAGAGGGGCTGGGCACCCGGTGGGGGGTTGTGCAGCCAGAGGAAGGGGAAGAAGGGTCCCGGCGAGGTCTTCTCCTGCTTCTGCACGTGGACGCGGTGCTGGGCGCTGGGTGCCAAGGGGCTGCCGCAGATGTAGCAGGCGGTGCCCGGTGCCCAAGTGGGCCTCTCGCTGCCTTCCTCCTCCTCCTCCTCCTCGCTGGTGATGTTGATCTCGCTGTCCGAGGAGCAGCACGGGGGCCCCCGCTCGCCCCCCGCCGCCGCCGGGGGGGCCCGCGCCGCGCCGCCCGCCCCCTCGGGCTCCGAGAGGGGCTCGGCGTCGGAGAGCTCGGAGAGCTCGGAGCCGGCTGCCGGCCCTTCCTCCTCCTCCTCCTCTTCCTCCTCCTCCTCCTCCTGGTGGCCGGCGGCGCGGCGCGGCGGCGCGGCGGGGTCCCAGCCCGTGGCCCCCCGCCGCAGCCCGGCTCCCCCCGCCGCCGCCGCCGCCTCGCACTGATGGGGCCGCTTGAGCCAGTACATGCGCTTCTCCACCGGCGTGCGGCTGCGCTCGAAGGAGTCCCACTGCTCGCCCAGGAAGCAGCGGCAGACAGCGCAGACCAGGGCGCAGCCCTCCGCCGAGACGGCGCGGGCGCCGGGCGCCGGCTCCTGGTGCTGCAGGAAGGGGAAGAAGGGCCGGTGGTCGCGGGGGGGTCGCACTTGAAGCTTGAGCTCTTTGCCGCGGCTGATGCCGCCGCCGCAGATGAAGCAGCAGAGCGGGGGCGCCGGGGGTTGCGGAGCCCCGGGGCCGCCCCCACCCGCCGCCGCCGCCGCCTCGCCGGCCGCCAGCGCGGCCATCAGCCGCTGCTTGCGGGAGAGCGGCGCCGCCGCTGCCCCCGGCCCCGCCGCCGCCCCCGGCCCCGCCGCGCTCATCGCCGCCCCCGGCTCATCCCGCGGCTCCGCCGGACACGCAGGCTCGGGGGGCGGGTTTGCGGAGCGCTCCCCCCCCCACCACACACCCTCCGCCCGCCTCCTCCCGCCGGGGGAAGGCAGCGAGAAAGGAAAAAAAAAAATAAAAATAAAACAACACACACACACAAAAAAAATTCCCAACAGCAACAAAATATCCCCGCACGGCAACAAAAATAAACCCGGGATAAAAGTTCGGTGCGAAAGTTTGGGTCCCGCCGGCGGCGCGGAGGAAGGGCGGCTGCCGGCCGCCTCCCGGCCCCGGCGCCCCCGGCCCGGCTCCTCCCCGGCCCCCCCGCCGCGACCTGCCCGCCCGGGGGGGCCCGGGGGGAGGAACGAGCCGCTGCCGCCCCCCCTGCCCGCCCGGGGGAGCTCGGGGGGAGGAACGAGCCGCTGCCGCCCCCCCGCCCGCCAGCCGCCAGCCCGGCGCGGAGCGAGGGGACCCCACGGGGGAGGGACGTGGGGATTTACAAACCCACCCCACCGAGGGGGTTTATAACCGGCCCCACGCGGGGCGGCCCGCACGCATTGTCCCCTCTGCGTCCATCACCGATGTTCCACCCGCGACCCCCTCCCCACGCCATGGCGTTTTGTGCAGCTCCTACTGCCCAAAGCAGCGTGGAAAGGCACTATATCCAGCTTCACGCGGGCAGGACGGATCCCACTGAAAGCACCAGCCCTTTCCTGCCCTTTCCAGCCATTAACTCAGTGTCCCGACCACCCCAGTAATTTATTTCCCATTTTAAAACTCCTGCCACTGTTCCAGTTCAATACCAGATTCTATTTCCCGCTCGGTCCTAAAATGCTGCATCGCTTTGCCACTCACTGGTAAATAGCTGATGTGTTCCCAGCCGGAGCTGGCGGCGTTTCAGCGGCGCATGCAATAATCCCGGTATATCCTTACCTGCCTCGCAGCCTGCGATAAGATTTAATGCTTGTAAAGCACTTTGCTGTCCTTGGACAATAGGCACCGCGGAAGCGCAAACTGTACCCAGGGCCAGCCACAATTAAACCTGACTTATTAACCACCCGAGCAGCTAGTCAGCATGCCCACCAGCTCGGCACAGCTCTCCCGATTAAATAAATATATTAGGAGCTGTAGGAATATTTTTCAAGCAGTCATTTTAGGAGGAAGCCTGCTCCCAGCAGTACTGTTGAGTTTGAGTTCATGGCAAGTCACTGCACAATCCCTGGTGCTGTCCTTGCAAATCCCTGAGCTTGCAGGGTGCAGGAACAAACCCAAAGAGGCAAGGTCAGTGGTTGGACAGGACACAGGGATAGAGGGATAGGAGGGACAGCGGGATGAACGCCTTGAACCAAACGCCAACACACCCAGATGATGTGGAAAAGCCACATTGTCCCCGCTCCTCATGCTCTTGGTGTGGGCACAATCCTCAGGGCACCCCGTCTGCATCCTCCTTGGATTGACCAACTCTCCATGTCACCTCCCACCTGGATTGCGGGTGACGGCATCCGGCGCTCCCCAGCAACTGGCTGTGAGATCAAACAGATTGTGTGACATCAGCTGGAGCGGGGCAGGGGCAGGAGGGCTCTTCAGGGACCCGGATCCAGTTTCCACGCAGATGGCTCCAGCAGTAAAGAAGCAGGGGGTGGGAGGTGACACACAAAGCGGGAACACGATACCTTGGGAGAACTGGCTCTATGGGGCTTTTTCAGGGGTTTCCAGAAGACAGCAAGGCCTCGTTATATTTTATTTATTTATAGGGCTGATGTGGTGGCTGCTCTATGCACTGAGGGCACTGGGAACGCCACGGCATCAGGATGGACATGACTCAGATGTTCTTTAAAGGTTCACATGGCCTCTCAGTGTCACCCTTTACCCCTGATGGCAAGGGGCCACTGGGCAGAATGGGGTCCCTGACCCCAGGCGGCAGCACCGGATCTGGAAATGCTTCACCCTGGTTGCCCAGCCAGAGCTCCCAGGGGAGCCTCAGCCACCGGCTCAGCTCACCCTTCGAGCGCAGCCAACAGATGCTCTCCCGCCTGCTCCGCAGATGGGCGAGAAAACAACGCGCTGCATTCAAGGTCCAGGGCTCAGCAGGGCCAGACCCCCCTCCCCACCCTGCCCCAAAACACCAACCTTCCGTGCCTCTCTCCAGAGGCGCCACAAGCCCTTGGCTCCCCCCGCGCCCCACCGGGACACAGCCTCTGAGCAGCTTCCCGGGCCTTGGCTGCGCCCGGACAGAGCAGCTCATTTATCATCCTGTGCTGCCCCGGCCCTGCGGTTGCTGTTTGCAGCAGAGAAGCTGGGAGGGAGAGAAAATTTCTCAAGTCGGCCCCGGCAAGAACTGAAAACATATGCCCTGGCGGCAAACGCGTCCCCCGGGGCGTGCGGGGATCAAGGCGAGCCTAGCGCAGGATTTTCCACCGCGGCTCCCGCCGGCACGCAGCCCTCCTGCCAGAGCCGGCATTTTAAAGCGACCCGAGGGCTGGGGTTGGTGACAGCCAGGTCCACTCCCCCGAGCCCGGTACTGTGGGGATAGCGGGATGCAATGCAGCTGGAGCGGGATGCAGTGCAGGGTGGCTCCTCGCTCACATTGGACGGGTGCAGTCCAGTGTCAGGAGGCAAATATCCTACTGCACCCACCTTAGACCTCCTTGTGATGAAGAGATGTCCCCTTGCACGAAGACAAGCCCCAGGGACAGATGTCCCTTACAGGGTTAGGGACAGATTGTGTCAGAACTCAGCACAAATTGTTCAATGTGCTGTACAAACAGCCTTGAGTGGCCGCGTGGCGCGGCTCCCCCAGCTTGGATCGGGCAGGGATTCAGCATGGATGCAAGAGTAACCTGCCCAGTGCTGGGGCCATCCCCATACTCATCTTTATTTGCATCCCCATCCTCAGTCTCATTCCTGTTCCCATCCTTATCTCCATCCCCATTCCTGCCTCCATTCCTCTGCCCATTCCCATTGCCACCCCCATTCTTACCTTTATCCTCATCCCCATTTCTGTCTCCATCCCCATCTCCATCCACATGCTTATCCTTATCATCCCCGTTCCTGTTTCTCTTCCTGTTTCCATGCCCATCCCCACTGCCATCCTTATCCTTTATCCTTATCCTCATCCTCATCCCCCTTCCTTTCTCCATTCCTGTCCCCATTTTCATCCTTATTCTGACCCTCATTCCCATCTCCATCTGTATCCTCATCCCCATTTCTATCCCAATCCCTATCCCCATCATCATCCTTAACTCCATCCCCATTCTCACCCCATGGTCATCCCCATTTTCATTCCTGTCTCCATCCCCATCCCAAACCCCATCTCTGTCCCTATCCCTATCCCTATCCCTATCCTTATCCCTATCCTTATACTTACCCCAATCTCCATCCCTATCCCTATCCCTGTCCCTATCCCCATCCCTCTGGCCCTTGGGGCACTGCAGCACCCACTCTGTGGAACCCTTAGGAGCAGCCACGTGCTGCAGATCCTGCATCTCTGGGACCAGGAGGTTAATATGGAAATTACCAACTGCTTATTCCTTCCAGCTGTTGCTGTGAGTCATCAAGTGCCTTAAAGAGCATTTCAAACAACACAGTGCCTTTGAGACAGCGTGACTGTTCCCCCAGCCACCCCCTCCGGATAATCCTCGGCAGGGTCTGCTGTTTGAAAAGGGAATATTTCTCAAAGAGGCAATTCCCAGCCGGGGAGGCAGAACAGCCGCTGCCTTGTCACAGCGCCTGTCCAGGCTCCCACCTCCACCCATGGGCTCCAGGCGCCCTGCCAGAGAGCAAACCCAGGCAGGGAAGGGCACTGGGAAGGGCAGCCCAGCCCTGCCATCATCCCTGCTCGAAGTCCAGCAGGGACATCTAAATGCCCTGAGATGATCCCTGCTATGCCACCTGCGGAAACTGAGGCACGGGGCGGCCAAGCTGAGCACCACAGTGTCACCTGCCCAGGGCGAAGGTGGCCTCTGTGGGACGCTGGGGCACTGGCCTGAGGTTCAGCGACCTTGAACTCTGCACTCAGCATCTGTATTTTTCTCTGCAAGCTTTTTTTTTTACTTTATTTTCAAAAGGCTGATCTCCACACTCGGTGCTGATATTTTAGATGGAAAATATAGGGCTGCA